TAGGAGAACCATTGTATCATTTTCGGATTTTCTATAGGAAATTCCCACACGAAACTTGTCCAGATAGTTCACGGCGGTGTCGCTTCAGTTGTTGATAGCTCATTTGTAGAACACAAGTATAAATTGAAGCCAAATGCAGATGTCAGTCTCATCTCCTTCGTCGTGAGGGTTTCGGGAACTCTCCGTTACCGAGGTAAATGCGCCTCCTCCTCCTCCTCCTCCGCCACATCATAGGTGCATGCAACAAACAGTTCGTGCTAGGGTAGCGATCATCGTAAAAATGTCGAGTTCGCTTTCCGCTGTCACCGTTGTAGCATCTTAAGATTTTCCAAAGGGTGGAAAAGACAATAATTGAGGCTGGATACATGTATTCCGAGGAGAACAGAGCAAACGGTCCTGAGCGTGGCTTGAAAGCCAGTCTAGGAGTACAAGGGCCGGACAAATCCTAGGATGACCGCCGAATGTCAGGTAGTCGCATAACCAAAGCGCTGCAATAAACTTGCTCAAAAGCCAAGTGTACAAATGCTTCACATTTTGGAAGGCCTAAATTTTTGTTTGAATAGCTGTCACTACTTGATCATCATGCTCCCGACCACATGCACTGGGCTTCAAACGAAGTCATGACTCATAATCTTTCTCCTCCCATTAACGCAAGCAATCAATTCCAGTTAATGTTCCCTTCCACTTATTTGGACGTCCCGAGGCTTTGGGCGCTATTCAGATTCCACCTACTTCGTTCAGTGCAATAAGCTCAACAAGTTTCTAGTAATAACTCTGGGATCTGTTTTTATTATCACTAAATGCAATGATGCCGCTTCAAATTTCGACTTACAGGACTATTTTCACAAAACAGTATTCTTAGTAAATGTTCTAGATAGTCTGCCCATCATTGTTCACCACATTACCTATATGAATGCATGCCAATTTGGTGGTATCTGGTATGTTTATAGCAGGACATTGACCGTCTTGCACCGTCAAACACGTAAAGTACCACGGTAGTGACCTCGCTCTAAGCTCCTCACCCCACTCTGATTAAATATACAGGCGTCCCGACGACAGTGAATTTCGTAGACAGCATCCGCAGCCGACCCGCCTTGAACGCACGATTGGGCCTAACGTTTCAGTTCCCTGAACGTTTGTGCAGCATCAACAAATTAAAATCCGACAACTTCAGCGACCTGTATGGACCTAATGAATGAAAGAGCAACGTAAACGCATGCTGCATAGCCATGGAATTCAACGCACCACCTTGATCGCTAGATTTGTCCACGTATCACGCTGCAGCCATCTTACCTATATTATGAAGTTAAGGGAATCGTACTCGTACCTAGGTGTAAAAGTACCTGGACAGTAATGCGG